GAAGAAATAAGGAGAAGAGCATGGGTTGTTTACACAGGTGCTCTCTGGATGCTTGTTGGTAGCTGGAAAGAAGTAAAAACAAAGGTTTGTATTTAAACTAGAGTGGCAGTGTTTACTAACTGGAAGATTGGCACGTCTTCAAAAAGAAACCATAACATTACAACAGTTTATGTTTGGAATTCAAAAATTATTAGAAACAACAGAGAGAATTGAGAAGAGATGGGAAAATATTGAAAATATAAATTTTAATGTGGTAAAACAGTATGGAAAAATGGAAGATATTCAGCAAATGGAAAATGTGGAGGCTAGAGTCCTAAAAACCCAAGGGAAAAATGAACAAAGAGACAAGATAACCATGAATATTGACAGTGAACTGAGTGTGGTTGGAGATTGAAAGAGTGGAACAAGGAAAGGGAAGATAGATGGAAAGGTGCTTTACTACAGATTTCAAGGTAGGGAAGAAAAAAAGAGAAGAATGGATGGATTTAAGGAGAGAAACTTTGACAAAAACACTACTGATAACCAAAGATAAGCTGATTAAAGAAGCTGATGGAGGGTTTCCAAAACTTACAGGGGAACATGTTGATCTTGTCATGGCAGTATATACTAAATTAACTATATCCATTGATTTTCTTTTGTTTTTTTTTATATTATATGCTTGAATATATAGGATATATTCTTTCACCTAGCACAAAATGATAATACTTTAGTTGACTATCTACTAGTTGACTATCTACTACTAAATGAGTTCATCATTTTTAATCTAATCTTTGGTCAAGTTCTTGATTTGTCCTGTGGCTCCCTCATATTGACCTTCATTTATAAATATGTGCTATTAATTTTCTTAATGTTCCTGCCTCCCTGCAGTCTTCTAATGAAGCAAAAGAAATTTCTCTACCATTTCAAGAACATGAGATGGGCTAAAGGCCGTCATGAAACTTACCTTTGTTATGTAGTAAAACAGCGGAATAGTGCCACATCCTGCTCCCTCGATTTTGGATATCTGCGTAATAAGGTAAAGGGACACAGATTTAGCTCCCATTGGGTCTTTTTTAGTAGAAGCCTAGCCTACAAAAAGTGAAAGCAAGGGACAAGGCTGCCTTGGTCTCCACATGGTCAGGTAACTCTGGGTTTTTGCATATTTCATTACAGTCCATCATTTTGCTTATTCAAATACTAGTCTTCCTGTGAACCAGTGAAAGGGCTGTGCAAAGAAAAAAGCAATGCTTCACAAAGCAAAACTGAGTTTTTGAAATGCTAAAGCAACTGTTCAAGGCAGCTACCATATTTGTATATATATCTGTGTGCATATACAGACCACATCTCTGGGGCCACCAGCAAAGCATAATGACTGGTGAGGAGAGCTTTAAAAATCCTTTGATGGGTGCAATTAACATGCATTGAGGAGTGTTGACATGCTTCATGAAGCATTTATTTTGAATGCTTTGGCGAGCATTGTTCCATGATTTTGCCAATTCATGTCACTTCCAGATTAAATAAATTGCAATATAATATGGATAATGTAGTTTTGATTTTTGCATAAAAACTCCTACCCTCTTTCAGTTATTTTTCGAACATTGAACAGAATGATTATTTCCTGTGCCAAAATTGCCCAGTCTTTGGCAAAAAGTGAAGCTGGTTCTAGAAACATTCTGCTTTCCTCTCCAATGTTTCCAGGTGAACGCTTTCATTTGTGTGATAGGTTTCCATTAACCAATTAAAATGTTTTCCTTAATCCACTTTGGGAAGACAGGGAACAGATTTCATTACAGTCTTCTCATGAATTCCTTTAAGATATTTGAAGAGTGCTATCCCATATTCCCTCATTTTTCAAAAGTCTGAGATAGATTTTAACACTTTATTTCAATAGCAAAGACAGCCTAAAAAGGAGGAAGGCAAAAATGTGAAGTTCTGTTATATAGAACTTGGTGGCAGATAACTAAAGATTGTAGAAGCAAATAATGATGGTGAAAGAAAGAGAATTTGATTTCAATATAGTAGAATAGTTCCTTCTAAAAACATAACATCTTGCACCTGATGTTTTTATATCTTTTCTTTTAATAATTTTTTAAAAAAATTAAATTTAAAACAAATACATCATCCTTTTTTACATGCTATAGAAAGTGTTGGTTACAAAAAAAACACCTTTCATACATCTCTTCCACAGTCAACAAGCATATCTCATATTAACTTAAATATTTTAACTCAAATATTTATACATGTCACCATCATTATAACTCCATTTTCATTTGACTATAATTGTTTAAACGTCCTTCATCATAAAATATATCAAAGTTAAATACATAACCACATACTGGCCTTTCTATTGCTAAAA